ATTATAGTAGTTAATAAAAAATATCCAGTTCTAGGCCTGCTGATGACTATCTACTGTATAGAAGTGTTGTGAGAGTTTCATGAGACTATGTAATTTACATAGTGCATGGCACTAGCAATTTTTCATAAATTACATTTTGTTATCATTATCACACAGTGTTATTGAATCTTTGTAAACTGGTGTTCATTTGCACATTTAGTTGCAGATCTGACGTTAGAAGCCCCGATTATAGGTGATTTTCCAGTAGTGTGATCTAGTTTTGAACAGATGGATTCATCTTTTCACAGTAGCTCTCTTGGTGTTACATACCTGGAAAATGATCTTAAGCTGGTAGGGGGCAGATTAAAGTTTAGGAACCTTCAGACTGAATATGTTATCTTGATTTTATTAATAGGAGTACTGTACTGTGTGACATAATGTGACATAATTAGCCATATAGTTTTTTGCTTCTTTGTACCTCTTTCCTCCCAGTAAATTTGAAGTAGATGTGTAAGATAGAAGCACAAATTAAATGATGGAAAACAATTAGAAGACAAGTAAATACTCCAGGTCTAAAATAACTTAGATGTTGTGTTTTACTTCAACAATTGCCTGTGAATTTTCTGCAAGCTACAATCATTTCCTATAATTTTGTAATTGTGTGAAAAGAATTTTCATAAATTTATACTCTTAACGTGCTGCTGTGTAGTGATTTTTTTTTCCCCCTAGAGCTACATTCTAAGTGTAACATGGTAGGGAACGTTTTTCTAAGGAAACTTGTCTGAAAAAGCTAGAAGTTGTATTTTTGTGGCGTGAAGTATATATACCTTTTGATAGCAACCTATAGGCAACAGAACTGGGAAATTGAAGACTTTGACAATCTGTATCTTCTTGATTTGGGTTATCAATAGCTATGCCTAAATGCTTCCTCAAAAAGAAATTTGGAAAATTTGTAATCACTTAAACTGAAACGTGGTTGAATTAGCTGTTATGTACCTGTCTATATATTTGAATAGATAATTTTGGCTTAAACAATTCTTAAGAGGAAAGATTAATTTCCACATCAATGTAAAGACATTTTTAGTATTTCAGATATATTTTATTGACTTATGAGATATTCTGTACCTTAATGGTTTTAAGCCTTCACTGAAGTAACATTGTTTTCACCCTTTGTTAAGAACCATCATTATATTTCTGCAAACAGCACTATAAAAATTCCTCTTGCGATGTAGTATAGGAAAGCATGCATTTTGGAGTCAGACCAATCTGTGTTCTGATCCATTTACTTAGTTTGGGAAAGTTACTTTGCTTTTTAAGCTCAGTGGTTTTTAAAACATAGGGATACAATTGTTATAAAGTTTAAATGCCATATGGTGGGCTTTCTATTTGAAGATACCTGTGTTTCTAACTGGGAACTAATGAATAGTTACTGACTTCCTACTTGTTTGTCCATTCTTGGGCTAGACAGTAATACCCACATGACTACAAGGAAAGTTACCTGGCTAGCTGTGGCGTTTACTATTCCACAGTAGTAAGAGTCCATTTCCTGTATAAAAAGGTCACCAAACCCAGAAGTGATTATATTCTCTTCCTGAAGGTGATAAAGTAGTGTGATAACCCCATTAGCTTTATCTCTTGTAGTTCAGTTCCTATTTTCAGTTTTTTCTCTGGATATTTGATCATGTTATCTTATTTCTTTATGAGCCTCATTATGAGTGGTAGATACTACATATGAAAAATGGCTTAATTTGTGGCCTAGGATAATCTCTCACTCTAGAGAGGAAATATATTTACTTTACTTTAGGCCTAATGACCAGTAGCACTACTACTCAGATTACCTCAGTCCCTGGGTTCTCAAATGTGATCCTCTGGTCAGCACATCAATGTCAATGGGGATTTAATCAATAAATGGGGATTTATTAGGTTGTTAAGTGTGAAATGTCCTGTTTCCTCAATCACTAAATTTGACAGATGATATCTCTTGGCATTTCACTTTGGCACTTTTATTTTTATTGTGAGGTATTTCCTCATTCTTTCAAACACACATGTGAGTTTGCGATTATCCTTCAAAATTTTTTTAGAGCAATTTTTGTGAAGCCATGAATGTGAGTTTTGTCGTAGAACAAGAGCAGCACAGAATCCCAGCAAAGTGTGTAGGAAAGATGTGGCTAATGAACACACAGTACGTTCATGGTTTAAGAAGTTCTCTTCTGGTGGTTTTAATCTTGAAAATGAGCCATGTGGGCGACCTGAGACCAACGTGGATAATGATGCGCTGAAGTGGAAATGAATCCATCTCTACCTGTGTGTGAGTTAGCAGCAAGGTTCGATGTTACTATTCCAACAACACTGCACCATTTGAAGCATATCAGGCATGTAAGGAAGCTGGACAATGGGTTCTGTGTGAATTAAGTAAGCTTCAGAAGATAACTGTCTCAAAGCTTGCCTTTCCTTTGCTGTCACAACACAAAGCCAAACCATTTCTGTATTGTATTGTGATGTGTGATAAAAAATTGATTGTTTTGACAATCACAAGGGTTCGGAAGAATGGATGGATAAAGGCAAAGTGCCAAAAGATACTTCTAAATTAAATATTCATCAAAGAAAGCAAGTGGTATCTGCTGGTGGTCCAGCACTGAAATTATTATCCAAGGCAGCTTCACGAAACCAAGCCACTGCAACCAGTTGTAAGATAGGGAGTATCTTGTGATTATGCAGCCAAGATTGGTCCATAGAGACCGGCCAGTCCTCTGGCATTCCACTTACTCTCCAGACTTCTTTGCTGCTGGCATAAACAAGGTACTGTTAAGATGTCAAAACTGTATAGATAATTTAGGCACATACTTTTATTATTGTACTGCTTCTTGCTTGAGACACAATAAGCTAAACTTATGATTCAAAGTAGAACATTTCATATTTGATTACCTAATAGATGTGCAAGTTCTCGGGCCTACCTGAGAACTACTGAATCAGAAAACACTGCAAGGGTGGGGCATAATAATTTGTTTCAATAAATCATCCAGGTAATTTTGATGTATTCTAACATTTGATAACCGCCTTAATCCAGCTAGAAATTGAAATGATTAGAAGCTGAATTTCAGCCTGTGAGTACTATAATAGTTCTCATTTATCCTTATTTAAAGACTGTAATCCTAATAGAAATTTTTTTTTTAAAAATTTTTTAAATTTTTGGGACAGTCTTACTCTATTGCCCTGGGTTGGGTGCCATGGCAGCATGGCTCACAGCAACTTCAAACTCCTGGTCTCAAGCAACCCTCCTGCCTCACCCTCTCAAGTAGCTGGGATTACAGGTGCTTGCCACAATGCCTAACTAGTTTTTTCTATTTTTAGTAGAGACTAAAAGATCTTGCTCTTGCTCAGGCTGGACTCCTGAGCTCAAGCAATCCACCTACCTCAGCCTCCCAGAGTACTAGAATTACAGGCATGAGCCACCATGCCTGACATAAATTTTTTAATTAAAAAAATTTTTTTGAGACTATTGGTCAAGCTGGCCTCGAACTTCTGGGCTCAAGTGATCTTCTCACCTCCAAGACTATAGGTGCATGCCTCTGCACCTGGCTCCTCAAATGTTGAGGTGTTTATGAGGCCTTCTGTATTTGGTGGATCTGGGACTCCACTCTTGTTCTCCAGCTGTGTGAGCCTGTTGGAAGTTGAACTCAGTTTCCCAGCCCCTCAGCTAGCATCCTCTGGAATCAACAGGTGCATCATGGGAAAGAGGCTTCAAATCTGGACTCAACCCTCTGACCTTGTTCCTCATAGTCTGTTACCTCATAAGATAGTGGGAAATAAATGCTTGAAAGAAGGAGAAGGAGATAAATAGTTCATTAAAAATAGACTGATTTTTGGATTATGGCATGTCGATGTGCCAACAAATGAGAATGGTGTTGGCATAATTAAGTCTCTTCTTAGGAGGACTTTTTTGAGTTGTTTTGCTTTTGTTTTTGTTTTTGAGCACACTATGGCATTTCTATAGAACAGCGGTTCTCAACCTGTGGGTCGTGACTCCTTTTTAACAGTGAAGAAAATACTTTGTGGCATTACGAAGGTTGAGAACCACTGCTATAGAATTAACTGGAGAAAGGGAGCTTGGTGATTATAGTCCCAACTACTCAGAAGGTTGAGGAAGAAGGATTGCTTGAGGCCAGGAGTTGGAAGCTGTAATGTGCTATCCATGCCAGTGAATAGCCACTGCACTCCAGCCTGGACAACATAATGAGAAACCCTCTCAAAAGAATTTTTTTAATTATATTACTTCAAAAAATATGTATCTGGAGGAAAAATTGATTTATTCTATTTTCTTATAAAAGAGTAAATAATGTTAAGCTGTTTTTCAAATATAAAATTAAGGTAGTTAAGAATGATTTTTTAAAGTGTTTTGGGGAAATTGTCACTAAGAACTGAAGAACTTTTTGTCTTAAAGATTCTCAAGTCGTCTTTCAAATGTCTTGTGCAATGAATGCAACAAAGGCAGGTTTCTTTGTTGAGAAGACTTTAAGGGGCATCCTGTTATACTGTGATCTCCCCAAGGTGACTGTTACTATTTGCACCTATGAATGTATGAAGACATTATTTCAGTTTTTGTGTCTATATAGAAACATTCTTGTGACTGCAAAAGTCCTTAAAAAAAGCACGAGTTGAAATGACATCTAATTGTCAGATTTGGTAGTATTGTTCTCCAGATAGCAACAAGAACTGTTAATCCGAAGAAATGCCCGTTTTTTATTGTCTGGAGAAAGCTATGCTAAGATCTTCTGCCCTTATTTTCTTTGGAGAGATTTACATGAAAAGAAAATAATGTAATAGGCCTCCATGTATGTCCTTAGAAGAAAAGTATTACAGTTGAATTAGTCTTGATCCATGCTGGTGCTACCCCTCTCCCTCATCCCTAGAAGCTGTACATACTTACTACCTTTTTAAAAACAGGTTTTCAATTAGTTGTTGGTAGATTATCGTATTATGGTGTTTATTGACTTTTTAACATATATGGATCTTTTTTACAGTTAAATCGTCGACCTGAAATTCTTGCTACCAGTTCTGGTGATTTCATCTTGAAGACATATGTAAGACGAAACAAGACTGACGGTTTTAAAACTTTGAAAGGCAACCCAATGGGACTTAACATGTTGAGCAACAATAAGAAATTGAGGTATAGGTGCTTCACCACACATTCCTACAGAAAAGATAAGGAAAGGATTTGACACCAAAAGTTAACTGCCTTTTTGGCCAATAGGCTCAACTTTACCATTTCTTTTGAAATTGTCAAAACGGACAAGGGATAGGATGGTTCCGGTGTGTGTTTTTTTTTTGCTTTGAGTTTTGGGAGTAAGATTGATTGCAGTGATTTCTTTGTTCTGAATAAAACATATTATCAAAAACATTTCAGTAGGCTGGGATCTCACGAGTTTGCTTTCATGTAGTTTAGTAGAATCTCAGTTATAATATGAAAAGTAAGCAGATGACACCATAGGGCAGGTAGTCATCTTTAGGAGATTAAAATTATATCCACAAAGAACTTTTTTTTAAAATAAAGATTTCTTATTCCTCTTCTCTTACAGATATAACTCACCTTCACTAGTGGTTGACGTAGTGAACCACTGCTACTGATAGGATTGGTCTATTAGTAACAACCCAAGAATAAGGTTGAAATTAGTATTTTATGTGTCAAATTATACATAGACAACTTGATACATAAAGGCTAAGTAACTGTCAAGTCAGTGGCAGAATTAGAAGTAGACGTTAAAACTCCTGATCTCTGTTATTCTAGTATTCTCCTGTATTGTTTTTGAGTTAGATCGGAAACATTTATTTTAAAGACAGATGTAGGAAGTAGAGAATTCCTAATGGACAGTTTAACGTGGCTAATTGCGTTTATCTATAAACCTTTTTTTGTTTGTGATAAAGATTTTTCTGTGCTCAGATTTTAAAGATTTGTTTCATAAGTGTGCAATTTTTACTTGTTTAAATTATCTTTTGTTTTTTAAATCTGCAGTGAAAATACACAAAATGCAACAGTATGTTCTGGAACTGTAGTTCATGGTAGACGTTTTCAGCATGCTCATCCACAGATAAAAACAGCAGCCCAAAGGTAAGGATTCTGATTGTCTTTGTTTAATGTGTACATGCTGTTCTCTTTAATGAAGTTTTTCACTGTATTTTTCTTTGTGTAACTTTACAGACCATTACCACTGTCTGTAAAGACATGTATCTCTGAAATAACTTACGACCTAGAATTTTATATCTACTTTTGAATTAATCACATCTTATAAATAAAGAATTTTTGAGTAAGACCCATTCTCTTATGTTACAATTTAGAAGATTTAAGAAGATATTTAAATTAAATGGATTCTTAACATTGACTTCACAATGTTTAACTAAGGTGTCTTCAGCTGGTAGTTTAGCCCTAAAGACAACACTATAGTCATTACCTTATTTTGTAAGGTTTACAAGAGTTCATAATATCAAAACAAATCACATTATTAGTTTTAAGTGTGTGAAAAAATGTTTATTTTAGTAGTTCTAGTTAGATTCAGGAGTTCTCATTGGTCTTGAAAGTACTGCTTAAACCTTGAAATGATGAAAATAACAGTTAGGGAAAGCTTGGCACTGTAAATGCTTTTGATGACTGTTTAGAACTACTTTTGGAATGTTATATTTCCTTTTAGTTGACTCAAGTTCTTCAACTCCAGCTGTTGCAGAATCTATTTATTGCATTATAAATATTTTTTTATAACTTACAAGATTTAAAGATTTGGTGCATATTTTAGATGCTGTTCTTCATTCTTTTCTTATGTCCTATTTAGGCTACTTGTTCAGAAAACAGGTCTTTAACTTTAGCAACCCTTGCTATATATGCTACTATTTGTTGTAACAGATTTTTGGCTTAAAAACCTTAAATCTCTCTGATACTTTTAAGATGATAAACCTTTTTTTGCTTAAATATATGTATTTTGTCATTGCTTTCACATAAAGTACTTGAAAAATTCAACTTTAAAAGGACAGAAAGAGGCTCAGCGCCTGTGGCTCAAGTGGCTAAGGCACCAGCCACATACACCTAAGGTAGCGGGTTCAAATCCAGCCCGGGCCCGCCAAATAACAGTGACGGCGGCAACCAAAAAATAGCCGGGCATTGTGGTGGGCACCTGTGGTCCCAGCTACTTGGGAGGC